GGGGGGGGGAGAAAAAAAGGAGGAGGGAGGGATAGTAGAAGAGCTTGTTAGAAAATATTTCTTTGGAAATTGCATAACCTGACTGTCACCGAAGGAGGAGTGTTATCTGCTCTCCAGCCATACCAGGCACAATCCACCATCTTCTAAATTCCCGGTGAAAGTGATTTTACGCTAAGATATTGAATTGTGAAATGGAGCAGCCGAGGCAGAGACGCACTTCCCTCCGTTTTCCCCCTTCCGCGAGCAGTAACCTCAGAGAGCGGAGGCGCGGCTGGAAATAATGTCAACTCAACCCCACGCAGCAAAACGTGCGGGATGGCTGCTGCCGGCGTTTCTAGTCAGGGCTTAACGTGAAGGGTGTCTCAGGGAGGCTAGATAATCTGTGAAATACCTGCCCTTGGGTTTTAGAGTTCTTGGGTTCAAAGTCATTTTGAAACTGTGCTGTGGAGCCGTACCTGTGATTGCAGCAGTCGCAGTGATGTTTCAGTGAATAGCCTGAGTAACGTTCCCGCGTTGCAGTTTAAGTCAGTAGCACGTTCTTGTGGTGGATTGCACCAAGGTCAGCCATTTCTTCATCGCTTTCTCCACTTTTATTTCACTGTTGTACTCCTGTCCAGGAAAGCCTCAGGAAATTGAGGCTAAGTGTGGGTAAATTTGTGTTGCTATCAAAGAGGATTTTTTTCTTTAAAACGTGAAAAAAAAAAGTATGGAGTGATATTTGAACTATGGGTCATTTAAAAAAAAGCACTTGATATTTTAAGGTGTGAAATGTTGCTATCTAATATTTTTGCTTCCTCTATTTTTTTTTTCTAAGTGTTTAGTTTTTTAAACACTTGACCTACTATCAAGGAAATCCAATCTAAATTTCAGTTCTTAGTAAAGTAATGACTGAAAATTAGGTGTCTTTCCTATTTAAATGGTTTGGTTGGCCAAGCTGATATCCTGTTTGTTTCAAAAAGTATTTATTGAGGAAATCTGTGTGTGTTTGCATCTCAAGGAGTGATTTCTGCCTAAGACTCTCAAAGTCATTTGGACTTTTTCATTTAATGCTTTGAAATACTGATTAAATACGTTCACTCTGATTTGCTTGAATCTGATTTGTGCATCTAGAAGTTTACTTCTGAAGTGGTGCAGCCACATCTGGTGTAAGCTGGCCTAATTAACACTGCGTAGTGATTTGGGACCCCCTCAAAGGCTGTTACGTTATCTAGAAACATAAGGAGTTAAAGCTAAAGCTGTGACCTCATCTCTATTCATGTTACACCGGAGTATAAACTGCACTGAAAGGGAGAGTTTAACTGAATCGTTCTCTTTTCTGCTGCTAGTTAATTTGGTTTAATTTGGTCCTGATATTTACAGCTCTCCTGGCTGAATAAGTGTTACAGTAGGGATTTGTGGGAACACCACAGAATCGTGCTGGTATCACCTGCGTGTGGGAAATAGCTCCCACAGATACATTTGGGCTCAGATACGTCTCTCTACCTGATTCAGGCTTGCTGTTATTTCCCTGTGAAAACTCAAGAAGCGTCAAGGAGATCTGAAACATGCGTGCTGCTGGCCAGTCGTGCGCTTACGTAACTGCGCCTGCAATTTCCTTTATTACTTAGCTCTTCATGCTAAATGAGGAGCGCAACTGCTGTTGCTTTAATGTTAGAGCCGTGTACGTTACAATAGGTGTCACTGTGCTGCTGGGTCCAATCGCTTTCGGTGACTTCAGCTATTGGCTCCGAACGCTGGCTGCCTCCGGCTGCGGGGCTGTAATACCTATTCTGTTCGGATCCGCTCAACGCACAAGTTCAGCTGGCTGAGCCGACTAGCAGTGCTACAGCCCGCCTTGCTCCTCTCTTTCAAAAAGCCAGCGCTGTAGCTGCGTGCCTGCCTTCTTTGCAGGGGGTAGCGCTTTCAGGTGATTCGATACCAGGAAAGCTGGGAAGAAATAAAACTGGCAGGAAGGATGGGGAGGTATTTAACAATTCAAGTACTGGATCAAACTTAAAGCCAGTTTCTTATTCGGTACCCTGGGAAGGTCACCTTGTCTTGCTGGAAGAGAAACAAACTCTCAGCTCTGCTGCTCTCTATTTAACAGCTTACACTTGCGTTTCTTAATGTTCGTAGCTAGTTAGGCTATCTAGCTGTACAGACAAGTATCCTCATGGTAGATGAGAAGGGAAAGAACATGAAATGTCTCACCTTCTTCTTGATGCTTCCAGAGACAGTCAAGAACAGGTCCAAGAAAAGCTCCAAGAAGGGAAATAGCAGCAGCAGTAGTAGCAGCAAATTGCCTCCAGTTTGCTATGAAATCATTACCTTGAAGACCAAAAAGAAGAAGAAGATGGCTGCTGATATTTTTCCCCGAAAGAAGCCAGCCAACACTAATACAGCTGCTGTCCAGCAGTACCACCAGCAAAATCTCAATAACAACAACACTATCCCCGCACCTAATTGGCAAGGACTTTATCCAACCATCAGAGAGAGGTAAGTTCAGGACAGTTTATTTTTGCTGTTTAAACGGAGTGGTGAAAAGTAGCAAAATGTTCGTAATGCTTATATTTAGTTTTTCGTTTATTTGCTGAATGAAACAGTTCTCTTCTTTTTGTTTTTGGTTAAGCAAATATTTCAGTAATGGAAAACATCTTAGTATCTTTTTTCCAGACAGTGCAGCTGTTTGTCTCGAGTAAATGAAAGTATTGCTACAAGCTGCAACACACTGGTAAAGATTTGCTTTTAGACCTTAGTGGAGAGTGATACATGCTCTTGATTTTGATTATCACTTTCTGAAAAGTTTTCATAAGTTTCTTTTTGCAAGGTCCCCCAACTTTGCTTTTTCTCCCAGTATGTAAAGTAGTTTAAAACAAAGCGTGACCTGCTTTTCTTTCTATTAACGTGCAACTTTAAGGTGTTAAGGAGTTTAGTCTCTTGGGTTTGGGGCAAGCATGGAGTTATTAGGTACCATAAATTAACACGTTGCCTCTGTTTGTAGAAATGCCGTGATGTTCAACAATGACTTGATGGCAGATGTTCATTTTGTGGTTGGGCCACCAGGTGCGACCCAGCGGTTGCCAGGACACAAAGTAAGCAACAGCTGCCTTTGCAGCTTGGACGGGAGGCTGGCCAGGGAGCTCCCACGGTCCCACCAGCACGTACCGTGGGAGACTTGGCTCTTCTGGGGCAGACGTAGTTCTGTATTTTAAAAAGTTACCTGCAGTGAATTACTCTGTCCTTTTTGCTGTATTTCTGGTTAAATATTACATTTGTCGCAATAATGTACTCCATTGTAAAGTTAGGAATATTGTTTGTTCTGGTGATTAATACTACTCTTGAGAAGATTTGCTAGAAATAGGAAACTTCTGTAATGGACGTGAGCATTTTCCAGTAGCTAATGCATGTTTGCCCCTGAGAGGAAAATGCAGAGAAAATACATGTTATTTTGTTCTCACGTTTGACTTTCTCGCATAAGTGTGTCTAGTGTCAGTCAGTGAAGCCAGTATATTCAGAATAGCTCTCCCACATTGTTTTTATTGGCAGCGCTTTCAGTTTAAAGCATGAAATAAGATTTCCCTTTCTCAACAGTATGTCCTAGCTGTTGGGAGCTCTGTATTCCATGCAATGTTTTACGGAGAGCTTGCTGAGGACAAAGATGAAATCCGTATACCAGATGTTGAGCCTGCTGCTTTTCTCGCTATGCTGAAGTAAGCATCATTCATCTGCTAGATGTGTATTTCTTTATGATGTATACGTTCACTGGTAATGTCACAGTTAATTATTAGACAGGTATATGCAGACAGGAAGCAGTTCCTTTAAAATGTTCTTCCTTTTGTGTTTCAGGTATTTCAAACTTTTATTTTTACCTCATTTTGGTCTCGCCCTCTACTCCGAGGCACGCATATATTAGGCTAATGTAGGCAGTTATAAATAATGACTTTGACAGGGGATCTTTGGGCACATTGTATACTGTAATGCCTATTGATTTGATTTGTCACTACACATGCTACACCAAGGAATGGAGTTACTAAAAAGAATTGGCAGCTGTAACAAAAAACCTGTTCTACTTTGCAAGCATAGTGAAAACTTTAAAAAAAAAAAAAAAAAACCCACAGAATGACGGGGTTTGTATTTTGACGTAGTTCCAGCTCTTTTGTACACTTGCTGTGTGTAGGGCTTGTCTTAGAAAAACAATCCTAAATTATCAAATGCAGCCTCTGAAAATTAAATTTCTCCTCATATGTCATACTGATGCATTTGGAAAGTGATGAAAAGGCTATTTAAATGAATGGGGTTTTATTTTACTCATGGCAAGAAAGACAGTTTACGTAATCATTATTTTCTGTGTATTTGATTTCTTCCTGAAAAGTGTGTAAGAACTGCTATCTTCTCCTACGTGAACACAAGGAAACAGTTTCCCTGCTGAATTGCCCTTGAATGTATCTATAAACTCCGATTTTTTTTTTTTTTTTAAAGAGAAATTCTCTGTCACAGAAATGCTATGGCTTTTGAGATTTTTTTCCCTTCAGCTTTAATAAGTGTCATTGCTTTGAGATAAAGAAAATACATCAGTCTCTGATAGTAACCTTCTAATATACTGCAGTTTTTATTGCATGTAATGGTGTAATCGCTAGCTAACAATTTGATGTATTTCATAGACTGTTTTGATTAGCTTGTGATTGGGGAATAGTTTCTTTTTTTTCTTGTGTATATCAGTGGCAGTGTAGATGAGTGTTGAAAGTTGCACGTAGAGTTTGTTGCATACAGTTTTTAGAGGTTGTCATGAACATCAGAAGTGTTTTGGACAGGTATCAGTAACTGCCAGGAAAAGCCGAACTCACACAGCTGCTGTCTGGGGCTGGAATATAAAGTTAAGATATGCTATTATGTAGGTAGGTGCATTACAGATCCCTGTTTTGGGCCTTTCTGGTTTTGTGGGTGTTTTTTGTGGAGCTTAAACTTGTTCTTTACTTCCATACAGAATTCTGGAAGGTGCAAACACAAGATAACTTGGATTTCCGCCGCCCCCTTCCTTTTTGAACGGCAAATCTCTTTCACTGTGGCTCAGTGTGATTTGCTGTGTGCAGACAGAGTGCTTTTTGAGTATGTCATGGTTATGACGTGTTATAAATGCGTTAAGAAAGCAAACCTAAGAAAGAGAACATCAATACCCGCGTCCTGGCAATTTATTTTTCCTGTGGCGATTTAGGAAACTGTCTTTGCGAGCGTGGCCAGAATCCTGCAATTCTTTATCCTTTTAAGCTTTTGTTTTAAAAAGCAAAAACCCACCAACTTGTTGGCTTTGTGGACGGTGAGCTAACCTTCCCCCGTGGGAACTTTCGAAGACGCGGTGAGCCTGACCCTGCCGAGCGCTCCAGTGTCTGGGCGCGGCCGGGGGGGGGGCAGGCCAGCGGCGGGGAAGGGATGCCGCGCAGCATTCCCCTCGTCGCACGATGCGGAGCCTGTGCTGCCCTGGGTGGAGCTTGTGGGGGAGCTACAGCCCCCGTCGCTCCTCTCCCCAGCCAGGACATCCTCCCCACGGGTGTCCCCTGTCATGGCTGTGAGCAGTGGACAGCAGAAGGCTGAGAAGGCTGAGGCTAAAAAGGAAAAGACTTTCAGCCATCCCAAAGTAGGCCTTTCCTTCATATGCTCTTTTGCGTAGTCAGGAGGGGTGCAGCATAGTCCACATAAGAAAATGCGTTCAGCTAATTTTTTTTTCCTGGGCAGTGAGTTCTTATACGGTACATATTGTTTGTCTTTAACTGTGTAGTGTGCGTACTGATGACAAATATGAGTCAAGGTACTGCTGGATATAGCATATTCAATATAGTCTCTACTGAGAGACACTGATTATTCCTCTGGTAAAATTGGTATGGCTGTTCTCTCCAGTTTTAAAAATAGGGTTAAGAGGTTGTTAAGTTCATATTCTGAAGCATTGAATTGGTATTTTTAATGTATTATGTCTTACTTTAATCTTGTCTGTGAAAGTTAGAACCATGGTCTCATTTTAACCCGGGACGAAGCGTATTACTGAAACATCAAACCCTACGGTTTAGCTACGGAATACTTTTGTTCAAGAACAGGTTGGAACTGGAATATCAGCAGTTGTAGTCCAAAACTGAGGTACACTGGCAGAGTAAGTGTGTAATGTTGCAGAGAGCCGATCTGTGCTATATCTGTTGTAAATCAGTGATATTAGTTCTTCACTTTCATGAATATTAAACGAACAACTTTTGTACTATTTAAATTTAAAACAGATGTCATCATTCTCTGCTGTATTAGCAGGCAAAGAGAAGTAATGGAAGGGAGAAAAGAGTTGGAAGCATTAAAAATGAATAAACTGAAATATGGAACACTTTTTGGGCAGTGAAGGACCTAAGCCTGTAACCTATGATGTATACATGTGATCTTTGGTACTAATAGCCCAGCTGAAACCAAGAATAAAGGCAGGAAGGGCTAGTCCTGTGTTAGCATTCTTTCGCTTTGTAACCACATACGTTTTATTACATTGCTTGGGCAGTATTTGCTCTAAGCATCTTTTCTAGGTATAACTTTGAGAAGAGCATTCTTACAAGTTCATTTTGACCACAAGCCTAATTTTATCAGAATTTTGTTCTACCCTAGAAATCATAACTATTCCTTAATATTTTCTTCATTGCTATCTTTTTCATCACTATCTGGAAATCACTTGCAGGTCAGAATCTCAGTCAATCACGCAATACCTGCAAAAATATAAAACAAGCTATTTACAACTATAATAAGATAGGTACTAGTAGGTAGGTACTAGTTCTACTTTAAACGCACATTCTGTTGCGCAAAAATGCGTTATGTTGGGACGCTTGTTAACTGGAACATTTTAATTCGTACAGGGTTGCATTTAACTTCAGTTTTACTGGAGAAAGTCATGGTGATCAGCCATAACCATCAAGACTTTCTTATTCATATGAAGAGTAAAATTGTGTCTAGTGTGGTTTTAAAATGTTGCATTTACCAGCTGCAGATGGGGCCCTGAAGCATGAGTCAGTAAAGAAACAAACTCTACATTTCTTCGTTTCCCTATGAGCAATGAATTTCAGGATGCTAGTCACATAAATAGAATTTAACTTTCATCTCTTCCACCACGCTAGCCTAGCAGTAAAGCCTTTTTTCCCCTTATGCTCTGAGACTGTGAGAAAACACTGTTAGTGGAGCCAGGATGTTTTAGCATGAATAAAGACACAGAATTCTTATTTTCAGCTTTGCTTTTCCTGTGGGTTTCATCATCCTATAGCAAAACCCAGCAGTTATAAAGTATGAAGATGGGTAGCACCTGATGTACTCAGATAGCATTTCACCTCTTGACAGACTAGTTAGTTATTCCCAGCAAACTTGTTTTCCTCCTTTTATTGAGATACATCCAAATAGATCATAAAAATCCACCGCCATGGATCATCCATTCCTAGTCCTCTTTGTAACACATGTTCCAGACCGTTGTGTTAGCCATATGCAGTAGCCATTGAGGAGCTATCTCTTGGGGAGGATGGCCTCTCAAAGCATGTATTGAAGAAAAACGGAGCTGGAGGGGGCCATAGTTTGTAAACGTAACCAGCATCTATGTAGCCTGTGTCCCAAATTTAAAGTCTTTTTCACCTTAGATGTAAGCCTGTTAACTTCCTTGGTCTTATATCAGTGGTGAATTGGGCTTGTACCTTCTTTATGAATGTAACGGATGTTCTCCAAAGGCACTGTTTAGTTCTAATGCGGAGTCATTTGGGAATTCTTTGTTTCTAATTTTCAGATGTTGTTGACAAATGGTGTTTTTTGTATTATGCAGTAGTGTTACATGCGTGTGTTTTATTTCAGATACATATATTGTGATGAAATTGATTTGGCTGCAGATACCGTATTGGCCACTCTTTATGCTGCAAAGAAGTATATCGTCCCTCATCTTGCCCGCGCCTGTGTCAACTTCCTAGAGACAAGTCTAAGTGCAAAGAATGCTTGTGTGCTGCTTTCCCAGAGCTGCTTATTTGAGGAACCTGACCTGACCCAGCGCTGCTGGGAAGTGATTGATGCCCAAGCCGAGCTGGCTTTGAAATCTGAGGGATTCTGTGACATTGATTTTCAGACGCTCGAAAGCATTCTCCGAAGGGAGACTCTGAATGCCAAAGAAATTGTTGTTTTCGAAGCAGCTCTGAACTGGGCTGAAGTCGAGTGCCAGCGACAGGAGCTAACTGCTACCATAGAGAATAAGCGCAAGGTCCTAGGGAAGGCTCTGTACTTGATACGCATCCCTACCATGGCACTCGATGACTTTGCAAATGGTGCTGCTCAGTCCGGGATTCTGACTCTCAACGAAACCAATGATATCTTCCTTTGGTACACGGCAGCCAAAAAGCCAGAGTTACAGTTTGTAAGTAAGCCCCGGAAAGGCCTCGTTCCTCAGAGATGCCACCGTTTCCAGTCCTGTGCTTACCGCAGCAACCAGTGGCGTTACAGGGGCCGGTGTGACAGCATCCAGTTTGCTGTTGATAAGAGAGTGTTTATTGCTGGCTTTGGGCTCTATGGCTCCAGCTGTGGATCAGCAGAATACAGCGCCAAGATTGAACTCAAACGGCAAGGAGTTATACTAGGCCAGAACTTGAGTAAATACTTCTCAGATGGTTCTAGTAACACTTTTCCCGTGTGGTTTGAATATCCAGTGCAGATTGAGCCTGACACCTTTTACACAGCTAGCGTGATTCTGGATGGTAATGAACTAAGTTATTTTGGACAAGAAGGAATGACAGAAGTTCAGTGTGGGAAAGTGACTGTTCAGTTTCAGTGCTCTTCAGACAGTACAAATGGCACTGGCGTGCAGGGAGGGCAGATTCCCGAACTCATATTTTATGCTTGAATGAAATCGTGTGGAGAAGAAGCATTTTTCAATGAAGAACCTGTTTGGTTCGGACCTACTGATGCCTAGCTTTTTATCTGCAGATATGTGATCAGTACAGGTAATATGTAACTAAACACTTTGGACAAGTTACTGGCTTGCTGTGCTTGTAACAGTGTTGATGATAAAAGTTTAAGCGTAATGTTTAACTCTAAACTGTAACTTCTAGGAACAAGCAAGTTTTAAAAGCTTTGTAAAAGAGGCAGGTGCCTCTGTGCCAGTGATGCCGACCCTTCCTTTGCTGTTGCAGCTGTACTTCCAGGGAATCACCAGAGGATGCCCCCGTCTTGTGTCTCACAGGTTCTAGGACTCCTTACGCTAAACACTGTCTTCACTGATGAGTTTTCTCTTTGTCTATTTCTCGCTCTCGGTTTGTCTGTATTTTAGCACGAGAAGGGGAGAAAGTGGAGAGCCTTGTTTTATGGCTCTCTGCTGTCTGCTCTTCAGACCTAAGAGATTCCAGTAAGTTGGACGACTTTTGATCATAGTGGCTGAAAGGGGCGCCTCAGTAGTAAACAGAAAAAAAAACAGGTTATGCCTTCATCAAGTGAAATTCTCCTGTGGCCAGCTGTTTGGGGTAGCTGCAGGAGGAGAGGGAGAGAAGTAAGCAACTTTCCAGAAGCTACGCAGCATGCTGACCCCAGTGCATGGACACACTTGCAGTCAAGGGTCTGAGCTTGGCTGGTTCCCCTCCGAGTTCGTTCTCTAGGAATTCCACCTGGAAGGCAGGGAAGTACTTGCATGTGTGCACATTGTGTAGGACGCGCTTAAACTTTTACTCCCATGACCTAATTTTGCTATATTTGGGTTGAATTGCTATATAAATGGCTTTTATTTGAACCCTTGCTAAACAAATGGAGGGTGATACCTAACATCCAATACAGAATTTTTTTTTTTGAGTATTTTTTCTTCCTTCACAATGTTTCGGAGGCAGATTATAGAGGAGCAAAGGAATGTACTAGTCCTGAATTGGACTTTTTTCTGTAAAATGAAATGTCTTCTTTTTTATTACTGTACGTAATCAGTGGAAATTTAGACAAAGACAAGAAAATTCCCAACTGTGGTCATATCTCATGATATGCACTGAACGCAATAACAGTGAGGAGGAGAAAATCTTTAATATGTTAATGTTGAATCTCTTGCAACTGCTTGTGGTTAAACATCGATGGGAGGTTTGTTTGGTGCAGAACCTTTTCCTTGTCTGAATTCTTTTTCAAGCTTCCTGTCATATAGCTGTATCATTTTTGAAAAAGTATTATGGGAACATGACTCTCTATCAGGGAAGGAAATCAGTATAAATAAGATACAGGTACTATTTAAACATGAGAAAATTCTTTACCATTGCATTGTGACAGTGGCTTCTAAAAGGGACTCTACCTATGGCAATGCGTCTCAGTCTTAGGTCATCTCTGAAGTGGGTTCTGTTTGTTGTGTATGTTTTGAGGAAATGAGAGGACCAAATGATTCTTTAGACAGATTGAGGACTAATGTTATATTGTATCAGCACATTAATGTAGCATAACCCTAAATTCACTTGTCAGTTTTGTTACAGAATTTTTTTCCCATATGATTTCTTACCAGCTTAATACTATTACTCTAAGTGTTTCTTAGCTGTTGGAATCCTGGCCTTTGACCATCTTAAAATGCCAATACATCTTTGCAGTGTCCAAAATACAGTCTGAAGCAAGGAAAATTGGAGTGTAGACATCAAACACTTTATGGCAAAAGCCCAGGTCCTCTTTCTAGGTAATAAAAGGAGAGCCAGGTGAAAAATTGCATTGCAAGATTCATGCTCTTCACCCATCTTAGCGGTAATGTTTTTTTATGAATACATATACATATATATATATATATAAAGCAAATTAATATTCTTTCTGAAAACACCCTCAAAATACCTAGATTTTTTTTTTATGTATAACAGATGTACATAAACCAGACTGTTAGTGAAATCTAAACAGAATGCTGCATGGAAAACTCCCAGAGAGAGATTTAAAAAATCTCCAGTTAATTATATTTAGATCTGCGGCCAAAAATAACCAGACTATAATCACATGGACTGGAGAAGGAGTTGCTGAAAAAACTGCAACAGGAAATCTAGGACTGTCATGAGACAATGGTCATCTACTTTTAGACAATGTCTGAGCAGCAGTTCTATTTCTTTTAAATGCATTTGAAAGCACAGTGAGACACTAATCAACTGATTCAGTTTTCGTAAAGCAAATGGTTGAGATAGATGTGATCACTCTTGAGTGATGAGCAGATTGACAAGTTGCTTGCAGTAGCAAGCTGCATTCTGAGTCACTTGGAAACAAAATTAGGTTCCTGAGCTAATGGGACAAATCAGAGAGTACTGCACTGGTATAAATATACTCTGGTTCTCACTTTTATTTATTTGTTGTTTTTTACTTACCTGCAAATAAAGGTGAGCTATCTACTACATTGACTCGCTGGAACAGGCAGGAGATCAGAATACTGTATAGCTGTAATATGTAGAAAACTAGCTGTTACTTAATTATTATTTTCATTTACTACCTTTATTACATGTTTTTGACAAAGTAGCGTGAAAGCTACATCTAGCTTAATTCCTCTGAGTCTATTCCAGGTTTTAGGAGTTGATGCCTGTATTTCAAGTTTTTGAACATGGATTAATAAACATAAATGCTCTAAACTATTTTTTGCTACCTACAGAGCAGCTTGATTCTGAGCAGTGCTTGCTGCTAATAGGTGATAGTTTACGAGATGGTGATTCGTACTGGTCACCTTAGGACATCGTGCCACTTAAATAGGTATTTAAACGTGGTTTTGGTTCGTTTAGCAGTGGTATCTGAGCTTGAACACATTGATGGACATTTTGCAAGCATCAGCCATATCAACCTGGAATGTAAGCGTAATGTTGATAGACATCTTTTTGTAGATGCTGTTTGAAACTGTACCTGGGCCATCTTTGCTACTTGTATGTTGGATTTTGCTGGTGAGGGGATCTGTGATAGAGAGTATAATGTAGTATACTTTCTGCATATCTAAAACAGTATTTAAGTAAACATTATAATTTCTACATACTTATTGCACTGAACTGTATTTCTTCTTTTTTTTTTTTGTTTTTGTTGTTGTGATAAACTCCGCTAACTTCAGGTCACAGCACCCATTTGTGCTGGAATAGTGTTTGACCTTAGCAGACTTACAGCATTATTTATAAAGGACAGATATATAAATATGAAGTACCTCATGTTGAATGTTATTGTACTGTATCTTTAATGTCACAGTGCAGATCTTGTTGGACTCATGAATGTGTACAATCGCATTAAACATACAAATAAAAGTGGTTCTTAAATGGTTGTTCCCTGTAGTATCTTTGAAACTTGAATTGTGAAAGCCTTTACTTAGCTATCTCTTTTCCATTGTTGTACAGTTGTGCACAGATATTCGTTGAGCTTATGTATTCAGAGATCTTTTGATCCCAAAAGAAGTAAAAGTCTAAGGAAAAAACAAGGAAGAACAATGAAAATGTTAATCAGTTACATTGTAAAAAGGTTGACGATTAAGCTAATAAGCTAGAGTGAATGATTTATGTGCTTTATGAAAGACCTTGTCTACTAGCATTAATATTTTTAGGTATGTGGAGATGAAAGGGGAGGGTCTCATGTTTATTCTAAAAGACAGTTGGCATAGGAAGGACCATGGTTTTCAGTCTTTGATATATCAGAATAAAGAATGTGGTTAGTGCAAAGATGCTGTTCCCTGATGAAAAGTTAATTACATAATATTATTCAAAATTTCAACTACCTTCTCACTTAAACCTCCTAGAAGAAAAATTGTGAAGTCTTCCTATTAAATGCTTACATGGTTAGTGAAACTGAAGCCCTACTTCACTGATGATGTCCATCTCCAGAACATTTCTTATGTTACTAGCTAATGATAAGAAGTGCTCCACAGCGCAATAAAGCGGCATGGATATTTAATTGAGGAAGCCCACCCCTGTAAAAAAAAAAAAAAAAAAAACGCCTACTTCATGCTTCATCCAAAACTGTACAGTCATGTTGACAAGCATCAAGCTTGTCTCTTTCGGTAAGTTTTCTAGAAACCTTACTGCTATTTAGTGTGCTACAGGTATGATTAATGAGAAAGATGACAAAACTTGCATATGCTCGAGCTGAATCTCATTATGTGTCCAGTGCTCCTTATTCATTTGGAAGTGGCTTAAAATAGAAACCATCCATGCCTTGTTCTGTACTAATGATGTCAGCACATAAATGTATCGGTACGCTGTGTATGATCTGGTGCAGAAGGGCCACACCAGTAGCACCAGCCTTGCTAGGTATGTTACTTAAAGGAAGAGATCAGTGCTGCTAGCAGCCTCAGTTTCTCTAACAAACCAGTGAGAACTAAGTGAACAGGGTAAAAATAAAGGATGGCCTCATTAGCTGGCCTCTGAGAGGCGAAGAGATCCTACCCCATGGCACGAGGCAAGCCTGGGCCCCCATATGGGAGCAGGGTGGCACTGCTGTAAACAGAAGAGCCTTGCTGCTCCTCCCCAGCTCAGCACTCGGTGGAAGTCAAGGTGCAGGAGCTGCTCCCTGACCTGGGCTGAGATGGGGCCTTCAGCCCACCAGTGGTATTTGGCTGCTGTGAAAAGCAGCAGCTTTGGTCTCTGCTACCCTGCTTGCAAGCAGTCAATGGGAGCAGTAATGCCTGCTGAGTTTCTGAAAGCGCTGAGTGGAGCTGCTTTCTCAAATATGGCAGTGTGACCATGTGCAAAAAAAAAAAAAAGAAAGAAAAAAACCCATCAGCGTGCTGCCCTATTTCCAGAAGTCTGAATTTATTTTCTCCCCAAGACTTCTCCATAAAGTGAAACCCTGGCTCAGCTGAAATCAGTGGGAGTTGTCCTCTTGACCTCAATAAAACTGGGATTTTCCTTTGCAGCATTTGTGTGATTATTCCCTAGAAACAACATAGAACTAGCACAAAAAGGGAAGTTAATCAGATTATTGTATGATTTCAGAATTATCTAAAGCATAGGTAGAAACCTTTCTAGTAAATCTTACCAAAACTTCTGCTCATCAGATTTTATATGCCCCCCCCAAGCCTTCCTAAATTCTCATTCTAATATGAAATATTTTATCCTCAGCCATGAATCTATAGGCAGAACAATAAATCTGTATGAGGCTTTATGTAAATTTTTACGGCCTGCGTTTTGGAATTCATAGCACACAAGATGTGGTACGGATAAAATATTTTTCAAATTAGAAGGTGTGTTTAAATTGCACATAGTCTGTTCAGAATGAAGGAAAAATAAAACAGCTATTTTGCTTGAAGGCACTGTTATTTTGAAAGAGCTTCTTGAAGTCTGTTGAACTTGGATAGCATCAGAAAAGCATTTATGTTAAGCCTTTAATTGTAGCATATTAAAATTAACTTTCTAATTGTTTTCTATAGACAATGATAACATAGTTAGCTTTCATGGGATCCTCTGTCTTGGTCCAGTGGGGTTTGCATTTGAACAGATACTGGCAAATGCAATTTTCTAGATCTCATTTTAAAGCTTCATAGTCAACGCTAAGTGCTGCTCAGGGATCATCAGCGTTTCAAGAACAACTATGGCTAGTTTCTGTTCTAACAACAAACAAGGACTCGCATGAGCAGATTTCTTCAGTGCGATGCTATGGGTAAGTACAGGGGAGAGGTTTCCATCCCCCTGAGGGGGAAACACCTTGTGTTACCTTTTCAGCAACCACTTGCAGAATAGCATGTGTAGCAATTCAGCAGCCACAGAGAATGGGAAGGCATGAAATGCAATAGGAGGCCACTGCTTGAAGGCACCGGTGGAAACGTCTGGATGCGGGGCTGTTGTAGGTAAGCTGATCTCATGAGCTGAAGAATGAAGATGCTGTAATGTAGCACTCCCAGTGACAGAAGGTTAGAGCCTGCTCCAAGTCCAGTGCCACATGCTGGGACTGTGGGTGCTGGCAGCACCTGGGGGAAAGGACCGACTGGGTGAGGGTGGGACATCCCGACACAGTTGGCGAGCTGCTTGCACGCTGTCCTGTGTGCACTGAATGTTGACCCAGCGTGGCAGGAGGAAGGAGGATAGCTGTGTCTATATGTATATATGTTAATATTCCCTAACCCACTTCCTCCGGCCAACAGTACTAAAGATGGAAAGCTAACAGCCTTTGTTCACTTCTTTTTTTTTTTTTTTTTGCAGAGCATGAGATTATAGAATAATGTGATTCTGCAAAGGCTAATTCATGCTTCTGTCTTTAAAATATGAACAGTCCCAGTGGCCTCAGGGGAAGTGGTGAGGGACAGGACTCCTGTTTACCTTAAAAGCATATGTGCAAACACTTGCTTTCTTCTCTAATGCCTTATTCTTAGGAAGTTGCAATGCAATAAAATAAATTCCTGCAGAGCTGGAACTTGACGTGCTTGGCTCGTTTCTGCAGTGAGACTTTAGTGAATAATAATTTAAAAAAAAAAAAAAAAAGGTAAAGGAACTGTATTTAGAGTGCAAATACTAAGCTATGTGGAATTTGAAGAGTGAGACATGGGGACAATATGATTTAAAGGCATTTCCATATGCCAGGATATTGCCCTTTGCTTGCAATCCTGAACTAAGGTATGACATGTTCTTACTTCTCTTCTTACCCATCAGGTCATGCTAGTAGTGGTACTCACATCGGACACCATTAGTGCTTAGGGAGAAGTGATGCAGAGGAGAGAGAAAAGAAGGTCAGAGATCTGGAATATAGCAGAAAAATATCTAACCAGCAGTAACAGCTCTCATCAGGCACACACAATAGACAGTAAACTGGCTTCAGGAGAACTATTCAGGCAGCATGGG